TATTTACAGTTTTTACCATTAAACTTGCTAAATTTACTTTTTTTCCCTAAAATGTGATAATTTTCCTCTTTTTTTTTACCATAAAACATGCTAAATTTGAATTTTTTCCCAAGAATGTGAAACATTTTTTTTTTACATTTTTAATTATTTTTACAATCTACAGTTATTTTGTATCATAAAACATGCAAAATGTAAAGTTCTTCCATAAAATGTGTGAAATCTAGGTTTTGTTTTACCCCACAATGTGCCATATTTACATTTTTTTCATCTTTGATGCACAATATTTTCACGTCCCCTTAAGCACTTGCCAGTGGTAACCGGGGGTAACCATTTCCCTCTGATGCTTCCCCTAATCTGAGGAAAGCCCCGTTTGGGGTGTGAAGCCGTAACTGTCCCCTCCCTGTGTGGCAGCTGGCCCCCACCTGCAGCGCCTCACTGGTCAACTCCATGAAGATGGTCAACAACCCGGTGGAGACCTGTGACCAGGTCTACGCGCTCATCCAGAGCCTCACCTCTCAGATCCGCAAGAGGATGGAGGACCCCAAATCAGCCGGTGAGAGCCCTGTGGGACTAAAGAGACTAAAATAGAAAGAATAAAGAGACTAAAGTAATTAGGTCGAGGTTAGCTTAGTTATTTCTAATTCATTTCTATATTTTATACATGTTTTTCTATGACATCGACGACATAAACCAATGTAGCTTTTTTTATGTTATTTTGAAAGTATTTTATATGTTTTTTCTTTGACTTCGATGACCAACGTAGCTTGTTTATTTTTATTTAACCTATCTTATTTATTTATTTATTTTACATTTTATATATATTTTCTATGACTTAAACGACATAAACCAATGTAGCTTATTTATTTTAATTTTATTTTTATATTTTATATGTTTTTTTCTTTGACTTCGACAACATAGACCAACCTAGTTTATTTTATTTTATTTTATTTTTATATGTAAATATATTTTCTATGACTTCGACGTCATAAACCAACTTGGCTTATTTATTTTTTATTTAATTTTAATAATTTATATATTTTTTTCTTTGACTTTGACATCATAAACCAACTTATCTTATTTATTTTTTATTTGATTTGAATATTTCATATATATTTTTCTTTGACTTTGACATAATAAAACAACTTAGCTTATTTATATTTATTTATATTACTTATTTTATATTTTATATATATATTTTCTATGACTTCAACGTCATACGTCATATGTTGGAAATTTACTTTGGGGTTAGGGTTATCAGAAGTTGAGGTTCTGAGGTTCTCCTAGATATTGTAGTTTCTTTCTATTTATGTTCAATGTCAGTATTTTTCTAAATGTTAGATTAAGAGTTTCTTTATCTACCCCCGCCCCCCCCGTGGCCCCCAGACCTGCAGCTGTACCACAGCGAGACTCTGGAGCTGATGCTGCAGCGCTGGTCTAAGCTGGAGCGGGACTTCCGCATGAAGAACGGCCGCTACGACATCAGCAAGATCCCCGACATCTACGACTGCGTCAAGTACGACGTCATCCACAACGGCTCGCTGGGCCTACAGGACACGCTGGAGCTGTTCCGCCTGTCCCGAAACCTGGCCGACATCGTCATCCCACAGGTGGGACAGGGGGGGGGGGCAAGAGAGAGAGGGAGGGGGGGCGAGAGGGAGGGAGAGAGAGAGGGAGAGGACAGAAGGACATA